AAATACATGTTCGGTTTTAATGTTACTTTAAGTTGGGGTAGAATTAAGTGAATGCCAAAACTCGTTCGCGTACCCCCTCCGTCACCTCACGTACCCCCAGTTTGAGAACCACTGATCTAACGCATGCTTGCGTAAAAAACAATGGGATGGCAGTGCAGTGGAATGCAAAAAAAAGCATTCTGTGTGATTGTGTGATCGGACCTTTTGCACAAATAGATGTACATAATATAGCCTGTAGCACATCTAGACAGGTGGTGCTGGGGGAGGTGGAGGGTGTCTGATGAACGTGATAGCGTGATACAGGGCCGGCTTACTGCGAACGCTGAACCAGACTGTTCAAATGTTGAGCAAGCAAGCTCATTGACTTCAAATATAGCAGAGATTGCTAGCAGATTACATATCAAAGACCATGCCATCTGAGTTAACTGAATTTATGGTCATTCCTGCACATTGATCGGTTGATTGTTGGATATTTAATTTATGTTTGTATTGGCTTCAGCCTCCTAAACCTCAGGATCTGGCTGTGGTGTGTTTCACCAGTGGGACCACAGGTACCGACCAGCAGACACCACAAACCCTGCTCACAGTATCGGATTAATTTTACCAGACATTTTTAATTTGTTATAATATATAACCAAATTAAATTGAGTTTAGTTGATTGTGTTACAGTGACCTGTGAAATTAAAACCCTTTGATACCATATCGTGGCCACGATGGTTAAATATTCGGGTTTAGATGTGTCTGTTGTTTCATGTAGGGAAACCTAAAGGAGCCATGATCACTCACGGCAACATCGCCTCCAACACCTCCTCTGTCATCAAGATCCTTGAGGTCAGTTCAGAGGATTTTGTGCTTCCTGTGTGTCTGCTTTCTTTTCTTTCTTGTCCTCCTTCAGCTTTTGACGTTTCCCCTTCCTAAACTTCGTCTCTCCATAGCTTTCATCTTATCTTCTGTCCCGTTCCTCTTCCTTCTGTTTCTTCTTTAATAGAGACCTTGTGTTTCCCGTGAAACCTCTTTCTCTTTGAAGTCCTGTTCATGAAGCTCTTTGTTCCTTTTATCTTCAGGTTGTGTGTTAAAATGGTGAAATGGGCTTCATGCTGTTCTCTTAAAAATTAACTGCTCCTTAAAACAACCGCTACTGATGTTTTGCTTGGAAGTGAAATGCCAGTGAAAACCTGATCAGCTTGTCTAATCACAGCATGTATTGGCCATTTTAAACTATTAGTTATAGTTTAAACTATTTATGGTATATTTTATATTCACACTCGCTAGGGCTACTTTGTGATTCGTCAAGAGGATGTGTCCATCTCCTATCTGCCACTCGCCCACATGTTTGAGCGTATGATCCAGGTAACCCAGCCTGTTTTGATACTCTAACTCATTCTGACTCTGATCTTACCATTATTAATATTATTATTAGTATAATATTATTATTTCATCTGAAAAGATTTCCCTTGGTTTCATCTGAAAAGTCATGGTGGAAGTAGGTTTTGATGAAACATTGTGATGATCTGATGGTGTACAGTAAAGTTAATGACATTTGTTCAAAAGTGTAAATAAAACCAAGGTTTTAATGTATAGCATATATTAATCCTTATTAGGGTTGCAAAAAGGATTTTTGGAAAGTTTCCGGAAATTTACCGGAAATGTTCCACCCTTTTGCAACCCTAATCCTTATTAATGTAAATGTCTACATAAACATTTTTAACATTTAAAATAGTATATAACTACATAAATTTTGCATGAATGAACTTATAAAGTAGTATTTAATAGTATATTTACATAAAAGTTTGGAATAAAGATTTTTTTTTATGTTTTTGAAAGAAGTCTCTAAGGCTGCATTTATTTGATGCAAAATACATAAAAACACGCTAATATTGTAAAATATTATTACAATTTAAATAAACTGTTCTTTTTTGAATATATTTAAAAATGCAGTCTTCAGTGTCACGTGATCCTTCAGAAATCATTCTAATATTGCTGAATAATTATCAATTATTTTTTGATAATTATTAATCGTTCTTTATTATTGTTAATGTTATTTTTGCTGCTTACATTTTTTTTTGTGTGAAAATATTGTTTTTTAAAATTTAAAATTGTATATAACTACATAAATTTTACATGAATGAACTTATAAAGTAGTATTTAATAGTATATTTACATAAAAGTTTGGAATAAAGATTTTTTTTTAATGTTTTTGAAAGAAGTCTCTAAGGCTGCATTTATTTGATGCAAAATACATAAAAACACGCTAATATTGTAAAATATTATTACAATTTAAATAAACTGTTCTTTTTTGAATATATTTAAAAATGCAGTCTTCAGTGTCACGTGATCCTTCAGAAATCATTCTAATATTGCTGAATAATTATCAATTATTTTTTGATAATTATTAATCGTTCTTTATTATTGTTAATGTTATTTTTGCTGCTTACATTTTTTTTTGTGTGAAAATATTGTTTTTTAAGATTCTTTGACGAATAGAAAGTTTAAAGGAACAACATTTGTTTAAAATATAAATATGTTGTAACATTGTAAATGTCTTTAGTGTCACTTTTGATCAATTTAATAAAAGCAAATATTTCTTCTTTAAAAATCTTACTTACCCCAACATTTTTAATGGTAGTGTATCACAAAAATATTAAGCAGCACAACTGTTTCCAATATTGATAATAATAAGAAATCAGCATATCAGAATGATTTCTGAAAGATCATGTGACACTGAAGACTGCAGTAATGATGCTGAAAATTCAGCTTTGATCACAGGAATAAATGACATTTTACAATATATTCAAATAGAAAACAGTACATTTTAATAGTTGTAATGTTTCACAATGTTACTGTTTTTTATTGTCGATCATATAAGTGCAGCTTTGGTAAGCAGAAATGACTTCTTTCACAAACATTAAAAATCATAATTATTCCAGACCTTTGACCTGTAGTGTGTAAATTAATATTATTAGATGTTGTATCATGATACCTATTGCATAAATTTAATGTTAATGAATTGAACTTTATTATTAAGTGTTACCTTTGATTGCATATTGACTGAATTCAAAACAAAATCCTCTCTTCTTCAGGTGTCGATGTTTTGTCACGGAGCAAGGGTTGGTTTTTACCAGGGTGACATTTCTCTGCTGATGGATGACATAAAGACCCTGAAGCCCACCTTCTTCCCTGTGGTCCCTCGATTACTCAACCGCATCTATGATAAAGTGAGTGCTACACGTCAGTCTCTCTCTCTCTCTCTCTCTCTCTCTCTCTCTCTTTTTCTTCCTGTAGGCCAGTCTGGGTGGAAACCTGCGATTTATCCTCACTGCATCCGCTCCGATCTCTCCGACTGTCCTGTCCTTCCTCAGAGCCACCCTCGGCTGTCTGGTGAGTCCTCACCTAATAACTATTCAATATCATATTAAAGTACTCAAAAGGCTTTTTTATTCACACGCAAATGCTTTTTCATATCGGTTAAGCAAGGCTATGAAAAAAACAAACATTAAAAATCATAATTATTCCAGACCTTTGACCTGTAGTGTGTAAATTAATATTATTAGATGTTGTATCATGATACCTATTGCATAAATTTAATGTTAATGAATTGAACTTTATTATTAAGTGTTACCTTTGATTGCATATTGACTGAATTCAAAACAAAATCCTCTCTTCTTCAGGTGTCGATGTTTTGTCACGGAGCAAGGGTTGGTTTTTACCAGGGTGACATTTCTCTGCTGATGGATGACATAAAGACCCTGAAGCCCACCTTCTTCCCTGTGGTCCCTCGATTACTCAACCGCATCTATGATAAAGTGAGTGCTACACGTCAGTGTTGGACACAAATGGAGAATGAGTGTTAACCCGCTCTGAAGTGATGAATGTCATATGTGTGTAGATTCTGGGCTCGGTTACGTCTCCGCTGAGGAGAATCATTCTTCATTACGCCGTGAGGAGGAAACAAGCAGAGCTGAGCAGTGGAGTCGTGAGGAACAACAGCATGTGGGACCGACTGATCTTCAATAAGATACAGGTACGTCTCTTTCACATCAACACCAAGCTGCAGTTATTGAAAGATTTGATGAAAAGTGCCCCCTTGTGGATATATGCGTTATATTCGTGACTTGATGTGATGTGTGTGCCAAGCAAAATACAGTACGTTTGTTCATTCCTTCATTCATTCGTCTCTCTCTCTCTCTCTCTCTCTCTCTCTCTCTCTCTCTTTTTCTTCCTGTAGGCCAGTCTGGGTGGAAACCTGCGATTTATCCTCACTGCATCCGCTCCGATCTCTCCGACTGTCCTGTCCTTCCTCAGAGCCACCCTCGGCTGTCTGGTGAGTCCTCACCTAATAACTATTCAATATCATATTAAAGTACTCAAAAGGCTTTTTTATTCACACGCAAATGCTTTTTCATATCGGTTAAGCAAGGCTATGAAAAAAATTTTTTGTAACAAGTAAAGCTGAAATTAAATGTAAATATTAGACGCAAAACTGAAATTCAAACTTCAATAAAGGAATAAAATCAGAAATGTTGCTTCGGCAGCTAACTGAAACAAAATAAGTTTGAGATGAAGAATTACAATGACTAAAACTGAAATAAAATAAAGCTAAACAGAAATATTGGTTACACTTTACAAATAAGGTCCTATTAGTTAATGTTAATGTGTTAAAATTAGTTAACAGTGAGCAATTAATTTGTAACATTTATTTATTCGTCTTTGTTGACATTAGTTAATAAAAACGCAACTTTTCAATGTTAGTTCGTATCAACTCAGGTCCATTAAATAATATTAACAGATACAACTTTTGATTTTAATAAACTTAGTAAATGATGAAATTGACATGAACTAAGATTAGTAAATGCTTTAATTATTTTTCATTATTAGTTCATGTTAATTAATGTAGTTAACGAATGTTAACAAATTAAAATCGTATTGTAAATTGTTACTGAAAAATGACAAAAGCACATAACAATTGCTAAAAACTAAACAAAAATTTAACTGAATATATATATATATATATATATATATATATATATATATATATATAT